GCGAAATTAATTAAATATTAAAGTATTTGCATGAAGTTAGCAATGCGTTTGTAATAAGCGATTTACCTGAGGTATATAATTTTATAAAAATATGGAAAGCTAAATGATGAAATAAAAAGGGTTATATTTCAAAATTTTCGCATCGCTTAAGTAAGTCGGTGCTTACTATAAATATAAATGCAAGCGTAACGACTCATTTTCCTGATGATTAAGTCTAATCGGGGCTAAAAAATTTATCAGGACAATAAAAATATAGGTGAGGCCTTTCCTTCCATTTCCTTCTCTTCCATTGGTATTTCGTAAAATTTTAATGATGATATATTTTTTATTTACTCCTTCGTAATATTTGTCCACTTCAGTGGGATCCAATATGTAATGAGGATAACCAATTTTGACTTTTATATCATTTGTCTATAATATATATATATATAATATATTATGGGTAATGATTAGTGCTTGTTAAAGTAATTAGTTAATTGTAACATTTTGATAAAGAGTAACTGTAACTAGAAAGTAACTTTTAAAAACATTATTAATGATGTATAGCGTTAAACGCTAGTAATTTTTTTAAAAAATATCGTATTTTTATTTTTATAAAGAAAAATTATTTTACTAAATGTCCATAAAATATAACCATTATTATTTATTTATTTTTAAATAATGAATGACTAACGTGTTTTTTTTAATTTAAATTTCAATTTTCCTAACTTCAAGAAAAGAGAAACAAAAAATAATATATTTTTTCCAAAATTTTTGCTGGTTACCTCTATATTCGATATTTATATAAGCCCGAATCCTGTATCCCTTATAAATCAAATTTTTTTAAAATTTCGGTTAAAAATGTCAGCTGTTTTTTGAAATATGCAATCAATACTATCTAAAAGTTCAACTAATTTTCAAAAAACATCTCAACACTGAACAAATTTTGACAATACTTATATTAAGGATTGAAATATAATTTTTTCTATACCACCAGAACTTATAATTTCAGAGTTTATAACAAGCTCATTTTCAATTGAATCTTCTAACATTATCTTGGAAGTAAAAATACAAGCCTCATATGCACTATATAAATTAATTATTCTTTATCTACATCAAAACCCTTATATACCAACATGCCAGCAAATAACTCAATTCCAATGCCTAAAACTCAAAGTAACAAACTACTCTGGTATTAAACCACCTTCTCATCATTAGCATGAAAGGAATCTGCCCAACCTGTCACAAACTTATTAATATTAAAAAAGATGACCATATATGCAAACATGGCCCTCCAGCCCTCCCTTGCTCAGGTTCTAATACACTTTGCACAAAACTAATTGAACCCCCAATCAATACCAAACATATACAAGTAAATAACAAATCACTAGAAGAATTTATCTTTATTAAAAAAATACCAACAATTAAACACATCACATCTAGTGTTAATTACCAAATTAATGACCATCTTACTAAATTATTTGATAATATTAACAAAGATTTGCCAAATTTAATTCATTGGAATAATCTCTTCACATTCCCTTTCAAATGCCTCTCAATCCCAAAAAACAAATCTACTTCACTACCTAACCTAATTAAAGACAGACTCAAGAATTTGGAAAATTTAACATTATTAGAATATGTTAAAAATCCCAATAATTCTAATAAAAGTTTTAGCAATACCTGCAATAAAATTTCCAAAAAAATAAATAAAGGTGACATTTGTGGTGCACAAAAATTAATCTCTTCACAAACAAAACTTGCCCCATCTAATGACGATACCCTTAACAACCTAAAATCCTTCATCCTCGTGCCTCTTATACTGGCTTACAAGCCCACCACTCAATATGCCCCCATTCATAATTACAAACTAAGATTCGCGATACAATAAGTGAATTTAATAAATTTTAAGCAGCAGGTCCGGATGGCTATAGACCTTCTTACTTCCAAACATTATTAAAATAATTCCAATAATTTTTTTAACTCACTTACTACCTTCCTTAATAATGTAACTACTAAAGATATTCCCACATTAGCTTATCAAATTATATTTGGAGCTAACTTGACAGCTTTAGAAAAACCTAATGGTGGAATCCACCCAATTGCAATCGGTTCATTTTTCAGATGCCTGATAGCTAAATTATAGCAAAAAAATAAAATCCGATACTCATTCTCTGCTTGACAAATACCAATTAGGATGCGGAACAAAAGGAGGTGTAGATATAGGCTCTCACTGCCTTCGAAATATCCACTAACAAACTCCGTTTCTGGTAAAATAGATTTTAAGAACGCTTTCAATACAATATCACCTTCGACACTTCAATCTTTTTTCGATAATTTTCCCCAATATTCGTGCTTCATCGACATCTGCTATAACAATAGCACCCCCCCCCCCCCCCATCTTTAATGGTAGCGTTATATACTCTGAAGAGAGAGTACAACAGGGCGATCCCCTCGGCCCTATTCTTTTCTGCTTAGCTATCCATAATATAATGAAAGATCTTAAATTTGATTTTGATCTCCAAAAAAACCTATGCTACCTTGACGATGGCACCCTTTGCGGTAATCCACATCAAATAAGCAAAGCTCTTATCTACCTTGAAAGAGAATGCCCTAAAATGAATTAAATAAAACTAAAACAGAAATTTGCTTTCTCAACCCTTAGATTCCCTTAGATTTATTTAAAGAATACACTATTATCGAAAAAGATGATATCCAACTATTGGGCTCCCCATTACTTAATAATAATATATCAGAAAAAATTATCAATAAAACTTTTCCTGAGATGAAAAACTTGGAAAAATTTATCAACCACATTCCATCGCACCAGCTTTTTTACTTATTAAAAAGTGTTTATATCTTCTCAAAATCTCACATCTCTTCCACTCATCCTCATCATTCACCTCTTCAAAATTTTTTATTCAACACAATATTCGCTTAAAGTCCTTTATTGAAAGAATCCTCAACCTTTCATTATCAGACATTAATTGGCACCTAGCCCAATTACCCGCTAAACTAGGTGGAATCGACTTGATCCTCTTAGAACTACTTTCCCTTTCTCTATTTATATCATATCGCCTATCGCTCAATTCTGCGATCTCTTCATTCATAATTCCCCATGATGATATTCTACCAGCAGCAATAGAAAAATGGAATCTCCTAATTTTAGACGGTTATACATTTCCTACCGAAATATCTAATAAATCTATCATCGACCCCCTAATAAAAAAATTACAAAATAGTCTTACCCTACCGAAATCAGTGATATACATTCAACTATTACAAAACAACGACAAATACGGTGGGCATGAATGGCTCGAAGCACTTCCAAGCCAAACCTTAGATAATCTCTTAACCAATGACCAACTGAGAATTACTATAGGCTTTAGACTAGGGATGCTCGCTTACACATTCACACTCTTGCCACCAATGCAGCCGCAGCCTATCCGTTCAACCTAATGCCAGACACGGTCTAAACTGCACCCGCAGCCAAGGACACATTAATAAAATCATACATAACACTTTAATAAGGCTAAAATACCCAACATCCTTAAACCTACAAACCTCTCATTACAAGACGGCCTTAGAGCCGACGGCTTAACCTGCACCCCCTGGTCCAATGGGAAATCCCTTATTTGGGATGCAACCTGCGTATCAGCTTATCCTTCATCAATTAACACAAACCTTCTTACTTGTGGGGAAAATAAAAAAATTAATAAATACTCAAAATTAAATAACTCTATATTATAGCCAACAGTCATTTTAACTAACGACAACTTTTTACAGTCTACAAATATTTTTTTAAAAACTTTATCTCGAAATTTTTTTAGCATAACAAACGAAACCCGCCAATCTTTATTTCTTAAACAAAGACCTTAATTAGAAATTTTTAAACACAATTATACCTGATTTTTAGGTACATTTTCATTATAAAATTAAAGCTTTTTTTTAGAGCATTCGATACTTTTAATATATATTTTTATTTAGTCATTTAGTCATTTAGTCATTTTATAAATTTTTAAATATTTTTATATAGTTGTTTTAATATATTAATGTTTCATTTCTTTTTAAAATTATATCAATATTTTACAAATGGTGGGATTTTAAAATTAAATATCGCAAATCTTGAATAACGATGTTAAAATAGTGAATTATAATTTTGATATATTAAAATCATGAATCCGAAAATTAAATTATTATAGTAATATTAAAGTTTAAAGGAAACGGAATAAAGTTTACAACAAAATGATCATGAGAACTTTTCCGGGCCAAAATAGGAAGAAGATATTCTTAAATATTGGAATAAATTGGAAGAAGTTGCTTTGACAATTTATAAAGATTTTATATGCTTATTTTGGTTGCAACAAATTAGTGAATATCATTTTTTGTCACATTTTATTAAATTTCCTTATAGGTTTGAAATATAAAATATTAAGTAGATATTTTAATTTAAACGTTTAGATTTTTAAAAAAAAAAAATTTAAGATTAATATGTAAATTTTTTGATTGTAACGTGTATTCCTTTTATCATCTAATTCAATATATATGATGGTATAGAAGTTGTAAAATCCAATTCTTTCTTTCTTTCTTTCTTTCTTTCTTTCTTTCTTTCTTTCTTTCTTTCTTTTTTTCTCTCTCTTTCTTTTAACTATTTTCACAATATTATCAAAAGATACTGTATCTCTAAAAATATCGAGAGATTTGTAAATTGCAAACATCACATAGACATGAAAACAAATTTCTTATCTTCGAAAAAATGAGTAATACAATTTTTTAAAAACTTGTCCAATTATGGAATCATAGCGAAAGATTTTAGCCCAAACTTAGACAGTTTCCCCAATTTAACAAGGCTTTAGTATTTAATAGGAATTATCTGGGCACTCAAAAATTTTGATCAAACTAAGGAATGGCCCGAATTATCATGTGATATGCAAGTTTTTACTGTATATTTCAATATATTTTACAGTTAACAAATTCACTCAATCATTTTAACATGGAATTAACAATTTGAAAAAATTAAATCAAAGGAATTTAACAAAATACATATCATGAACAACCTTATAAATGGAGTTAGATTTGGAAGTTTCATCCATCCAAACATTTTTGTGAAAACTTTTTACATAAGTGTCTCGTATAATATCAGATATTTCTTCAACCTTTTAAAGATAAATAGAATATATATAAATTGATTTAATGATATTAGGGAAATTAGAAGGAAAAAGAAAAATAATTTTTTTAAATAATTAGTAGATGTAACCCTAATTTTATCCAGAGGATCGAAATTGTATCTCAGGTAAAGGGAACTGAGTGGGATTTGCAGGAAATCCGGAATCATTTTTAAGCATTTTTTCCAAATAGGATCTTTATCATAGATTTTATTAATTTTGAGAACCGGGGTATAAGCGTCCTCGTACTTTTTGGACAATAATTTGGTGAGGTTATTTACATTATGCCACATTATGTAATCATGTAAATCTCTTCTTATTTTTTTTATGTTTTGAATATATAATTTATAAAAGAAATTAAAACATGTATATGCCTTTTTTTCCGTTTCATTATTTATTTTAAAATATTAATACTCAAATTTTATCAAAAATATAATAAGAGTATAATTTTTATTTACTTAGCCGAGAAATGAGAGATGGCAAACTACATCTCATCCCACTACGCTTCTTACAATTTCCGATAAAACTCACAATTCACAAATTAAAAATAAGTTTTAAACACCAAACCCACCCTCCGTTTATTTGCATATGAAGATCCTATTCAAACCAGGGAACGAGAACCCTCTTTCTAGGGTTCAGTGAAAAATCTCTGAACCCAATTCGCGTTCTGGTGGGTTGAGTTTTCGGAGATCAGAAAAATTATTAGTTAATATAACAGAAGCATCATTTTTTTAAAAAGTTTTATTTTAATTAGTATCGGCCATAAAAATAATTTATTATCATAATTATAATATATTATATATAATATAATCTACAATACAATTTTAAAATATTATCAAATATAACAAAAAAATTATACGTAAATAATGATTAAAAAATGTTTTTTTAAAATGAATATTGTTTTTTTTGAATATAAAAAATAATTGTTTTGAACTCTTTTATAAATATAAATCGTATGTTCAGAGTTTGGGTTAATTGTTTAGATAAAATTTTTTTTTATAAAATGGTTAAATTATTAAGAAATGGATCTTTCATGGTACTAGTCTTGGCAGTATATGAGGTAGGAATAATTTATCATATATTATGCCATGTGCAGTTATTAAATAAACATTTGTATTTTTGGGTTAATATTTGTAGGCATATTTTGAAATTGAAAATATTTTATGACAAGAAATCTCGGAAAACAAACTAATTTGCTAAACATCGACCAAAATTTATTAAAATGTAATAAGACCCCACCCCCCACACCTCGCCCCATTTTATCATCGGGTTTATGCTTCCTTGTGTCGAACCTTAGATTTAGGAGCCATTCCTATCGCTTCCTCCGTCTTAGTTAAAGCCAATAATAGTGCAATTCAATAGTTTTAAACATTCAACTACTTTCCTCTTACTTACAGACAGACTTAATACTTTACTCAACTATGGCTTCATCGCGTACCTAAAATAGAGCACTCATAATAATCTTCACCATTTGAGCGTGAGCGGATCTATTTACGAGTTTTTAGAAATCTTGCCCCTGTCCAAACAAGTTTTGGCAAATTGCATATTTTCCACTGTCGATTTTGCCAAGTCTGTTTCCACGGCATACCAAATACAGCGAGCGCATCCCATCTAGACTCAACCCAAAAAGCAGATCAATAAGAAATAGAAATGTCTTAAATTTCACCGTGAAGTGGCTGGCCCATACAACAATAACATCATTGCCCAAGCACTGGCCAAATCTCCAAAAATATTAAAATATGGTTCTATCGACCCTTCCTATATATTAGTGCTAATTATCTGATCTACTCTAATCTTTTTGGTGGGCAAAGCTTAAAGTTCTTTTAGAGAATTAAGGAGAGGATCCTCTAAAATACCCGATCAACATATATAATCTTTTATCTTACAACAAAGGCTTGCTAAAGCAATTCGCTTCAACTTTCTAAGTTTTAAGGCTTCTATTAAATATTCTCCCATATTTCTTTCAACTCGCTACTTTATAGACATCTACTTAAACTATTATTATGTTTACTTTAAATTTTAAAAAATTCTTCCTTTATTTCACTTCACTATATTAGATATATTCACTTAAATAAATAAAGGATTACACGGAATAAAAAATTTGTTTTTTTCCATTTACTTTGAAAACTTGGTTTGGTTGTTTAAGAAATGCTTGATAAAACTACTTAACCTTCTCAAGCGATTAAAGTGATGTACATAGAAAACGTCATCTGGAGATACGGACATGTTTAGAGGTTTCAAAATTTGTTTTATCAGTTTGGTCCAATTAATCTTGGTGATAAAGAAATTTATATTTTTATTTTTGTGAAAAATATTTATATAATTGATGACCTTATATTATAATATTTAGGCTCATTGGGGTTTTCTACTTAAATTTTCAAGATTCTGATTATTTATAAACTTATTTTTATATTTTTAAAATGTCCAAATATAACTTTTCCATTTTAAAAACGTTTATATTTCAAAAATAAAAAGAATATAAGAGAAATATTTATATTTGTATATATTTATGAGGACCTGCAGGTCTGGCCCATAGCCCTGATCGTATTTTAATTAAAAAAATATAAATAATTTAAAACCAAATATCACAAATTGCCATTATTAGCTATAAAAATTAAAAATAAATATAGTATATTTTTTTAAAAAACCTGGCCGAATTGGGCCGTGCAAAGGTTACCTCAGCAGATCCTTGATTCATAGTTTAAAATAATAGTCTTACGAAGTCATATATTTTATCCAACTCTTCTAACGTTATATAGAAGCCCTCGAAATTGGTATGAAATTTTGTTCGAATTACTTCCTTTTAAAAACAGTAATATATTTATGTCAAATAATTATAATAATTTTAGAAAATCTGAAAATGCGATATCTATTATACTGCGTTAATTGCTCTCTTAATATTTTAGTCAACCAAACCTTAGGAGTGGTAGTATACTTCGACTGAAGTATAGTTTTTTTTGTAGATAAGTTTCCAATCGTTGATTTTGTATAAGTTATCTAAGCATTTAATAGGATCTATGTGTATTTTGGTGATAAGTTGTTAATTGCTCATCGTGATTGTGGCTAACACTATTGCATCGATTGTGAAGAAACATTCAGCCTTAATCGCTGCTATATATGAGTCTGACGCATCTTCGGGCGCATAGTCTTGAGAAAAGTGCATAAGTGCATTGACGTGCAACTTTGATATTGTGATTTGGTGGGCCTAACTTAAATCATGTAGGGTTCGTTCTGGAAAAATAAAACTCAATGCGAGAAGTAATTTTGAGTGCTATATATTTTATTGGTATTCTATTCGAGTGAATTTAGATGATTCAAAAACCACATGCTCTTCATATACTTTGCATAAGCAGTTTTAACCCTAAAAATCATAGGATATTACTGAGGTTTTGGATAAATAGTTAACATTTCGAGTTATTTCTTTTGATTTAGAAGCCTCAATTAATATTTATTTAAGTTTTTTGCAGTGTTCTTAAATTATCTCACTATATGTTTTTTATAGCTTCAGGGATAGCGTTCTACTTTTAGGGTAGAAGAAAGATACCCATATGTTAGTTTTCGATATTTTTGAGTTACGTCTACTTTACTATTTTTAAATTTAATATTATGCATACATTGTTTTATAATTGAATTTGAATTAAAATGTAATATTAATAAAGAAAACGTTGAAAATTTTTATTTTTATATAAAAGTAACTATTTATAATTAATGAATATATTTTGTTCTAATATTTTTCCAATTTTTGAAGAAATTTTTGCGTAGAAATGGCGAAAGCTAGTGTTTAAGTATAATAGCTGTTAAAAGGGCTATTTTGTTTGTAAAATTGCGTTAGCGGTTAGAAAGTAGCATTTAACAATTTAGAGTTTTTGAGGAGTTATGGTCACAAAGGATTGTACATAAATGCCATCTAATTTTATATTGTTTATTATTTTAGTGCGAAAGTCGAGATATCGTGCATTTGATGTAACTAAGTACCTAGCGATTGTTAGCTTGATTTTATGAACATTTTACTACTTTGGTATTATAATTAGGATATTGACAATGGTTTTTATTAGGCACTTTGATGAATGCACTATTTTGATAAAGTTTATTGTTATTTGCGATTTGCGTAGAGGTAACGAAACGTTATTCAGATAGTTTTCATCTAAATTTCGATATTTCAAATATTCGATTGATATATATAAATTAGATTCGCTTCAAATAATTTTTATCAAATCATTATATAGACGAATATCAAACTAATAATTAGTTTTAATAAAATAAAATATATAAATAATATATATATAATTTTTCAAGGAGTTTGAAATTGTTAATTTAAAAATTATTTATATGAAATATACTTGGTTAATAACTACGTAGCTCTAATCTAAAATAATCTTAAAATACCTTACCTCACCATACATATCTAAGAATTCGCAAATCAATATTGATAAAGAATAAATCATATTATTTTTAACTTGGCGGAAAAGCTTTTCGAACGCTAGCACTTTGTTCATAGCAATATGTAGTTGACTATTTGTAGGTTCTTCTTTATTCGGGTAATCAAGAGTTTCATTAATGTCCCTATGATTGAATCTTCTTTCCTTGTCTTGAATTTTAAAATGATTAGAAGTTTTGTTAGTGTCCGATAACAACAAATTTCCAATGTTTTTCATGTAGTTTAGGTGGGCCTTGTCCATTTCTGGATATATAAAAATGACATTGTGAGTATCACGATTTGGTATTGTAAGTTGGTCTACTACTTTAATATTGAATAAATGCATAGAAGAATTTTGGGGATCTATTTCTGAATATATGTCAAAGAATCCCATTTTCCAATTTTCAGTAAACGCTGCGTCCGGATACTTGACTTTATTTAATTTTTTTTTAAAGGAGGAATGACAAATAATTGACCAATGATATCTTTATAAGAAGTAAAGAACATTTTAGAAAATAAGAAATATATTAATGTTTTAATAATGAAAAAAAAAGATTTGTGTAGTGTGGACCGGAGTAAAACGATTAGTTCTCTTATTTTGCCCTGAAAATTTTGATATATAAAAAGAGAACAGAATAAATGATAGATTTAAATGTAAGACAAATAAATCATCTAAATAAATTATAAAATTATATCTCTCTAACTTATAATGCAAGAATTAATTGTGTGAAGTGTTTTCGTTATTTTAACCTATACCCAGGGAAAGATGACCTAAGCATAAAGGTATATTGGAATAAAATTCATCAAATATTTATTGTTTTATTGAATAAAATATTGTTGTGGCATCCATTCAACACATCTAAGTATAAACTAATCAATACCATAGGGAAATGAGGAAATTTATTTATACGAAATAGCTCACATTTTGAATGTGCCTATTATGGGCTCATCTTAAATTTCTATTATTCTTCCCCTTTGCGTCTATTTTTAAAATTTTTTCCAAATAACACGTAAAGTATTTTTAATGTCCTTTTTTTGCTCAAAATACATTTTTATATGGTGTGGACGTTAATATTATAACATAAAGATTATAAAAATTACCCTCTAGTTTATTTTGTTTTAGCAAATTATTTCATGGCTTATAGTTTAAAAATTTGCATACATGTCCCGTTATAACTATAAAAATAAACTTTATCATAAACGCAATAACGATTATATATATATATTGTACAATATATATAAACTTTAAATGTTCCATCTCATTAAGGATGTAAAATAGAAAAATATGTAAAACCAATGTATAAAAAAAATAGCCATAAGCAAGAAATTAACTAAGGGTAAAGTTATGGTAAAAAAAGGCAAATGGCTTTGGCATTTTCAGCTTTTGTTTTTTCAAATTTAATCAAAAGATGTATTTCTATTACTAAACACCATTTGTGTATTTAGTAACGAGACATTCTTATCAAAAAATATTGATGAAAAATAATATATTAGTCTTTTTTAACAACATTTTTTTAATTATTTTGCCTGGAGAGTAAAATACGTTTCTAAATTTTATAAAATTTATCATACCCAACTTCTAGCTTACTGATTAAACTTAATATGAAGATTTTAGCTCATTTAGGAAAAGGTTTTTTAGTTATCATTTAGAAGTCACTGCCAATATTTTTTTTAGCTTAACCTTTACAAATAATTTGAGCTACTATTAATAAATTAATTTCAAAAAAATTTTTAAAAATAGACATCAATCAAATTTCGGGGTCCTAAAAACTTAACATATATTTCACCAATTACGTCACGAAATCAAGGTAAGAAACCTTACAATTAGAAAATATATTATACCCATACAATTTATAGAAATGAAATAAGTTACATAAGTTTAAAGTTTATAAAAAAGAAGCTTTCAACGGCTCTTTGTATTACATCTATTAAAATAAAATTATGAAGATAAGAAGAGATGAATGAATTATAACACCTCCTCTATCCATACTCTCCCCCTACCTCATTTAAAAATTATATATTTATCTCTTAAAATGTTGGCAAAAATCTCAATTTAGGCTAAGAGAAGAGGAGAGAAGAGTAGAGAGAGAAGAGTATAGCGTACTTAAGATATTTCAATGAGAGTTAAAAAATTCTAAGAGCCGAAGGAAATTAATTTTTTTTAAAAAAACCAACTATATAAATGAAAGATTTTTTTTTGAACTTAGAAATTTGCGTTTTTATTTTTCCACTGAATCCATTAAGTTTACAGTTACTTTTTGCCTACCCGAAAATTAAGCGCATTTTATTAATTTTTTTCTATGACAGTTATTTGGTTCAGAGTTTTAAAAAATTTTATCTAAAAAAAATATTAAACGTTTTTTTAAGTTCGAAGACTCATCTATGAAAGGGGAAGGCTTGTTATTCATGTTTAAGATGTCCCAACCGCCAAACAGTTCTAATAGATCGATTAAAGGTTGCCCTTCCAATGTTTCTCTAATGTTAGCCTTATCTACACAAGAATCATAAAATATCTTGGCTTGTCTCTCTGCCATTCCTTCGTATTTTGTATGAGGATTTTCTTCATTTTGTTTTTTGTTAAAATATTTATTTCATAGTTAGAAATGGCTTGGTTGTTTAATCAAAAAACTAATAACTCAATGATAATTTTTTTTGTAAATATATTTATCGTTTATTTTTTTTTTTATAGGAATAGGAGATAATAAGTACATTTTTAATGTATATAATAAAAACGTTTTTATTATATAATTTTAACATATGATTTCATTAAAATTTTTAAACTTCTGAAAGTTTTAAAACTTATCTAATTTTTTTAGAAAAAAATAATTTTGGATATAATTTTGATTATTGACGATTACCCAATATACTCTTGATATTTAATAGTAAAGATTCGCCTATTTGAGAACGTATTGTCCAATCACGATAACGGTTAGAAATTGAGGTGTCCCTTATGTAATTTCCGCAAGCGAATTCGTAAAAATCTACGCAAGGATGAATATTTTTATTCATCTTGGATGTTACGTGGCTAATGTTAAATGTATTGGCCGAATCTTTTAAAAATTTTATAGCATTTGAATACCTCATTTAATAAAAAAACTTTGGGAAATAAATATTAAAAAAATATAGTTAATATATATCGTAGTAGAATGTTGGTTATGTAAAACTTCAAGAGTAATAAACAATTGACACGTTATCGTAAACAATTAGTCAATTATTTATACAATAATATTAGTGTACTAGTAATTATATAACAAAAACTATAACAAATTCATTTGCGTATATATATACATTTAAACGTTATATTATGGGAGAATAATTTTAGTGAAGAAAGGGATACGATAATGACTTGCTATGTGTTGTTGGCCGATAAGAACAGGCAGAGTAAGATGTTAGTCAATAATATTTAAATACATAAATAAAAATATTATAACTTTGAATACGTGAGTTTTACATTTCCTCTGAATTAAAATTTACTTTTGAATAACTTTTCAAAGTAAGTCAAAGAAACAGAATATAAATTACAGATATCTCATTAAAATAATTTCAGATGATATATTAAGATACGATTTTTAAAGCGAATATATAATAATCTTGCTAGAAATACTAGAAGTTATGTAATGTTTTGTTAAAATTTATATCAAAACATTTCTAGGTTACGTAGTATAAGGTTACTTAAAATATTGTAAGAAGTAAGTTAATACTATTTAAATATATAAATATTAAATTTGAATATGGGAGATTTCTCTTTTCTTTTAAATAAAATTCACTTCTGATTAGCTTATTTTCAATGAATGCCTATGAAATAGATACAAACCTAAATATATCAACAAAGATTTCAATTTTAATGAGATATCTATAATTAATATTCTGTTAAATTAAAGTCAACATAAGATTTTTGAAGCGAATAATATAATAATTTGCTGGAAAAGAAAGAAGTGAATGTAATGTTTTGCTAAAATTTATATATATAATTTTACCATTTCTTGGTTCCGTAATATAAGAGGTTACTAGAATTATTGTAAGAAGTAAAATACTATTTAGATATTTAGTTAAGTAGAATAGGAAAGATTTCCATTTCATCTTCGTTAAAATTTGCTTTTGATTTGCATATTTTCAAAGAATTATTTGTTTATTTTCTTATAATGTCAAATGTAATAGTTACAGATTAAATATCTCAATATAAATTTCAATTTTAGTTTTCATTCTGTTAAATTAAGGTCAACATAAGATTTTTGAAGTGAATAATATAAAAATATTGCTAGAAAAGAAAGAAGTGAATGTATTGTTTTGTCAAAATTTTATACAAATAATTTTACCATTTCTTATTTCCACGATATAAGAGATATCATGAAATATTGTAAGAAGTAAGTTAAAAATATTCCAATGCATAATTAAAAAACTTATCAAATTTAAGAATAATTAATAAAAAAAAAATTTTTTTTAAGTATAATAAAAATTATAAAATGGTTAGCAAAAATATAGCGAGTTAACAGAGTATAATAGTACGTTTTACTCTAAATAATAAAAATATTTAAGTTTGAAACATAGTTTTAACAATAATATTCTACAAAAATATCTTATTTTAAACATGGTTAATAGAAAATAATTTAGAGGAGTAGTCAATGGGAGAGACAAGAATCTTCCCTTTCACAAATTTACTTGTTGACGTAGATATCTATTTAAGATTAATAAATCACCCATGTACACTGACTTTCCACATACCTTTTTTATCCAAAGCCATTTTAATGAGATAATTGTAATTTATATTATGTTAAATTAAAGTAAATAGAATATTTTTTCGCGAATAAGATAATAATCTTGCTAGAAATAATGGAAGAAAATTAATTGTTTTGTTAAAATTTATTTAAATAATTTTACGATGTCTTGGTTTCGCGGTATAAGAGGTTACTTACAGGCGCGTACGCAGCGGGGAAGGGGCAGGGGGACAACCCCCCCCCCCCCCCCCCCCCAAGCCAAAAAATGCAGATGCCGGATATATTTTTCAAAAATATTATTTTCTATATATTAATATTATTTTTATAATCTTTATTCATATATCTTTCATTCAAATATATATTTAATTACATTTATTTATAACAATCATTTACTAAGTTATTTTATCAATTAATTTCAATTTCAAGTTTTCCTTGGTAATATTTATCTACTATTTTCAAATTTTTAACGGCAAATTTATCTACCATTTTTTTCTCAAATAACAATTATGGACATAAGAAATTTTTTTAAAAACACGAATGATGATAGAGATTCTAGTCAAAGTCATCTTATAAAAAAGCAAAAAGGTATGAATAATTTAACATATTTTTATTATTTTCTTTTTTTAGTAATTAAAACCCCTCCCATAAATAATGAAATAATTGTTGGAATTGGAAGAATAATTGAGAGTCAGGATATAGAGCCAAAGCCATCAAAAGGTTATTCTAAATAAAGATTTTGGCTTTTTTAAAATAATTTTATTCTCAATATTATACTCATATAAAATCCTTATACAAAACTCTAGAGTACAATGATCATCCATATGATATAGCCAATTTTTTGGATAAAGATAATATTAGCCTAGAAGAAAGACATTTACTTCTTAAAAAAGTAATAAATATAAGATACCTATGATAAATAATTTATTTAATTTAATAATAGATTTATATTCCACCCCTCAATTTTTAATACCCACAAACTGTATGTGCTAATCGAAAGCTAAAATTTCAAAACAGCTATTACTAGATGGTTATGGCTAGCATACTCTATCCGTGACAATGGAGCTTATTGTAAGATATGTGTCCTGTTTGGTCCAAGATATGCTGGAAGAAATTTGGTTAAGCTTAACACTCTTGTTAAGACTCCATTTAACAGATACAAAGATGCTGGAGAAATTTTTGATAATCATCAAAAAACAAATTATCACAAAAGTTGTGAACTGATGATTTCCTCAAAAGAATCAATTCAAAGTGGGGATATGATTCCCATTACATCACATATTGATAAAAGTAGGCTTACAATTGCAAAAGAAAATAGATGCAAGATAAGACTAACTATTGAGGGTATTCTATATTGTGGGTTGCAGGGATTAGCTTTACGTGGCCATTTTGATTCAGGAAGCCTGAATTTCAATAATAATGATAACGAAGGGAATTCTCGTGGCCTTATAAAATTTAAAGCATTAGGAGATTTTGCATTAATGGAGAGCATTAATAGTAGTAATAAAAATGCTACATATCTTAGCCCTAGGATCCAAAATGAAATAATTGATGTTTGCAATAATATCATTCTAGAAAAATTGATTACTGAAATCAATTCTGCCCCATGCTACTCAATTTTGGCAGATGAGACCACAGACATTGCTGGCATTGAGCAGATGTCACTTTGTGCACGATATATAGATACTCAAAATAACATTATAAAAGAGATGTTTCTACAATTTATCCCAGTTTCAAGCATGACTGGGTCTGCCTTAGCTGATGTAATATTTGACAATCTTGAAAAATTCAAAGTAATAATTAATCACAATATAAAATTATTTTTTTCAAAAATATAGCTTAATATAAATTTGATACGTGGGCAAGGGTATGATGGAGCTCGTGCAATGAGTGGGCAATTCAATGGGCTTCAAGCATTTATAAAAAAAAATGCCCAACAGCTATATATGTCCATTGTGCTGCTCATTCCCTCAACCTGGCAATATCTAATGCATGTTCTTTGCCATTGATATCAAATTGCTTAGGTATAATTTTATTTATTTCAATTAAATTTCTTATATTTATATCAGGCAAAATATCTAGCATCTATGAAATGTTTAGATATCCCAAGAGACAATATATTTTGAACAGAATTATTTCTGAAGCTCCTTGTCCAACAAGGAGGAAAAAATTGCAAAAAGCTTGTCCAACAAGATGGAGCCTTCGCCATCAAGCTGTGACATCTTTTATGGAGTTAGAAGAACCAATTATTAACGCTCTTACCGAAATATCACAATGGTCTGAGAGAGATATTTCTACAGAGGCTAGCAAATTATTAGATTCCATACTTATACCAAATTTTTTTTTCTCATTACAATGTATTAATAAATTATTTAATTATACTACAATTTTATGCAATACTTTTCAAAAACTCGATATTGACTTGATTGAGATAATGAGAATAGCAGAGAGTATTATGAGAGAACCTTCTCTTCTTTAAGAAGAATAAAAACCTACCTAAGAAGTACAACTTCTGAAAGTAGATTGAATGTTTTGGCCTTATTGAATTTTCATAGGCATTTGACGCCAAGCACGGATGAGATAATCGAAAAATTAGCTCTATCCCAACGAAGATTGGATTTTACCTTATAAATATATTATATGCTTTTAAAATTTTTTGTGCAATTTTATAATTTTAATATATTAGGAAAATAATCTAAAATATGTTTGAATTGATGCAAAGCATCTATAGCATTTTGTTGGGGTCCAAAAAAGGTTTGGAGCAGTTGCTAAGTGCTGTCCTATGAATTATAAATAGTTCATTCACAAAATACAATTTTACCTAATAAACTTATGTAAATTTATATTTACAACATTTATATTTTTTAAACTTTATATATAAATTTTAAAGACTCAAAATATTTCTATTTTGGATCATTTATTTTATAGTTATTCATATGCCGCCGGTTATATCCGTTTAATATTTTTTAATTCACATTTATTTTAAAGTTTTTTATATGCCGATTTATATATTTTAAAGTTTTTTTTACTGGTTTTTATATTTTTTTTATATACCGGTTAATATGTTATAAGTTTTTTCATATGCCGGTTTATATATTTAATTTTTATAATTCACATTAATTTAAAATTGTATTAGAAATAGTTATTAGTCCTAATAAATTTATGCTTCAGAATTTTAAATAACAAAAATTTATTTAAAAAAAATTTATTTGTCCCCCCTCCCCACAGCAAATTCCTGCGTACGCGCCTGGGTTACTTGACAATAAAAAGTAAGTTAATACTATTTAGATATATAATTAGTAAATTTTAATACGAGAGATTTCTCTTTCATCATAAATAAAATTTGCTTTAGATTAGCTTATTTCAAAGAATGTCAAATGAAATATATACAAACCTAAATATATCATCTATAATTTCAATTTTAATGAGATATCTATAATTTATAATATGTTAAATTAAAGTCAATAGAAAATTTTTTCGCGAATAATTAATTATCTTGCTAGTGATAGAAGAAAATTTATTGTTTTGTTAAAATTTGTATAAATAATTTTACCATTTCTTGATTCCGTGGTATAAGAGGTTACTAGAAATATTGTAAGAAGTAAGTTAATACTATTTAGATATTTAGTAAAGTTGAATATGAGAGATTTGCCTTTCATCTTAATTAAAATTTGCATTTGATTAACATATTTTCAAAGAATATCATATGAAATAGATACACTCCTAATTATATCATCAAAAATTACAATTTTAATGAAATATCTGTAATTTATTTTCTTTTAAATTAAGGTCAACATAAGATATTTGAAGCAAATAATATAATATACTGCTAGAAAAGAAAGAAGTGAATGTATTGTTTTGTTAAAATTTATAAAAATAATTTTACCATTTCTTGGTTCCGTGGTATAAGAGGTTATTATAATTATTGTAAGGAGTAAGTTAATACTATTTAGATATTTAGTAAATTTTAATACGACAGATTTCCCTTTCATCATAAATAAAATTTGCTTTTGATTAGCTTATTTTATAGAATGTCAAATGAAATATATACAAACCTAAATATATCATCTATATTTTCAATTTTAATGAGATATCTGTAATTTATAATATGTTAAATTAAAGTCAACATAAGATATTTGTAGCGAATAATATAATATACTGCTAGAAAAGAAAGAAGTGAATGTATTGTTTTATTAAAATTTATAAAAATAATTTTACCATTTCTTAGTTCCGTGGTATAAGAGGTTACTAGAAATATTGTAAGAAGTTAGTTAATACTATTTAGATATTTAGTAAAGTTGAATACAAGAGATTTCCCTTTCATCTTAATTAAAATTTGCTTTTGATTATCATATTTTCAAAGAATTATTTGTTTATTTTCTTACAATGTCAAATGTAATAGTTACTGATTAAATATATCAATAAAAACTTCAATTTTAGTTTTCATTCTGTTAAATTAAGGTCAACATAAGATTTTTGAAGTGAATAATATAAAAATCATGCTAGAAAAGAAAGAAGTGAATGTATTGTTTTGTCAAAATTTTATAATAACAATTTTACCATTTCTTATTTCCTCGATAGAGATATCATGAAATATTGTAAGAAGTAAGTTAAAAATATTTCAATGCATAATTAAAAAATTTATCAAATTTAAGAATAATTAATAAAAAAAAAAATTTTTTAAAAGTATAATCCAAAAAATATTTCTTTTCTAAAGTATAATAAAAATTATGAAATGGTTAGCAAAAATATAGCCAGATAATAGAGTATAATAGTACGTTGTACTCTAAATAATAAAAATCTTTATGTTTGAAACATAGTTTTAACAATAATATTCTACAAAAATATCTTATTTTAAACATGGTTAATAGAAAATAATTTAGAGGAGTAGTCAATGGTAGAGACAAGAATCTCCCCTTTCACAAATTTACTTGTTCACGTAGATATCTATTTAAGATTATTACATGACCCATGTACACTGACTTTCCACATACCTTTTCTATCCATAACCATTTTAATGAGATAACTGTAATTTATATTATGTTAAATTAAAGTCAATAGAATATTTTTTCGCGAATAAGATAATAATCTTGCTAGAAATAATGGAAGAAAATTAATTGTTTTGTTAAAATTTATATATAATTTTACGATTTCTTGGTTCCTCGGTATAAGAAGTTACTTGAAAATAAGAAGTAAGTTAATACTATTTAGATATTTAGCAAAGTTGAATATGAGAGATTTCCTTTTCGTCTTAATTAAAATTAGCTTATGATTAACATATTTTCAAAGAATATCATATGAAATAGATACAAACCTAATTATATCATCAAAAATTACAATATTAATGAGATATCTGTAATTTATTTTCTTTTAAATTAAAGTTAACATAAGATATTTGAAGCGAATAATATAATATACTGCTAGAAAAGCAAGAAGTGAATGTATAAAAATAATTTTACGATTTCTTGGTTTCGTGGTAAAAGAGGTTTCGAGAAATATTGTAAGAAGTAAGTTAATACTATTTAGATATTTAGTAAAGTTGAATACGAGAGATTTCCCTTTCATCTTAATTAAAATTTGCTTTTTAGCTTATTTTCAAAGAATGTCAAATGAAATAGATACAAACCTAAATATATCATCTATAATTTCAATTTTAATGAGATATCTGTAAATTATAATATGTTAAATTAAAGTCGACAGAAAATTTTTTCGCGAATAAATAATTATCTTGCTAGTTATAGAAGAAAATTTATTTTTTTGTTAAAATTTGTATAAATAATTTTACCATTTCTTGGTTCCGTGGTATAAGAGGTTACTAGAAATATTGTAAGAAGTAAGTTAATACAATTTAGATATTTAGTAAAGTTGAATACGAGAGATTTCCCTTTCATCTTAATTAAAATTAGCTTATGATTAGCATATTTTCAAAGAATGTCATATGAAATAGATACAAACCTATTTATATCATCAAAAATTAAAATTTTAATGAGATATCTGTAATTTATATTCTTTTAAATTAAAGTCAACATAAGATATTTGAAGCGAATAATATAATAATCTGCTAGAAAAGAAAGAATTGTATGTATTGTTTTGTTAATTTATATAAATAATTTTACCATTTCTTGGTTCCGAAATATAAGAGGTTACTAGAATAATTGTAAGAAGTAAGTTAATACTATTTAGATATTTAGTTAAGTTGAATAGGAGAGATTTCCCTTTCATCTTAGTTAAAATTTGCTTTTGATTAGCATATTTTCAAAGAATTATTTGTTTATTTTCTTAGAATGTCAAATTTAATAGTTACAGATTAAATATTTCAATAAAAATTTCAATTTAGTTATCATTCTGTAAGGTCAACATAAGATTTTTGAAGTGAATAATATAAAAATCTTGCTAGAAAAGAAAGAAGTGAATGTATTGTTTTGTCAAAATTTTATTCTAATAATTTTACCATTTCTTATTTCCACTATATAAGAGATATCATGAAATATTGTAAGATGTAAGTTAAAAATATTTCAATTCATAATTAAAAAATTTATCAAATTTAAGAATAATTAATAAAAAAAAAATTTTTTAAAGTATAATCCCAAAAATATTTCTTTTCTAAAGTATAATAAAAATAATGAAATGTTTATTAAAAATATAGCCAGGTAATAGAGTATAATAGTACGTTGTACTCTAAATAATAAAAATCTTTAAGTTTGAAATATAGTTTTAAAAATAATATTCTACAAAAATATCTTATTTTAAACATGATTAATAGAAAATAATTTAAAGGAGTAGTCAATGGGAGAGACAAGAATCTCCCCTTTAACAAATTTACTTGTTCACGTAGATATCTATTTAAGATTATTAAATCACCCATGTACACTGACTTTCCACATACCTTTTCTATCTAAAACCATTTTAATGAGATAACTGTAATTTATATTATGTTAAATTAAAGTTAATAGAATATTTTTTCGCTAATAAGATAATAATCTTGCTAGAAATAATGGAAGAAAATTAATTGTTTGTTAAAATTTATATAAATAATTTTACGATTTCTTGGTTCCTCGGTATAAGAAGTTACTTGAAAATAAGAAGTAAGTTAATACTATTTAGATA